GTTGTTTTGCAATCAGTTTTTCTTTTATTGAATACGATGAAACGAGATTTATCACCTGAGAACGTAAAACCAGTCTTTTGGGACCAGTCTTCTAGTTTATGCAGAAATGATTGCAAAATGTTTGAGGCTAGTGTAATATTACAGCTACTAGTATATACAACTAAGTCATCTGCATACAGACCTGCTTTCAAAGGTAGCTTTATCTCTTGAGCGATATTATTAATTGCTATTAAGAATAAAGTGGGGCTTAAGGTTGAGCCCTGTGGAATACCGTTTTCAAGACTGTGGAATACTGTTTTTGAGGTAATTCCATTTACACGTACTTGAAATATCCTATTATTCATGAAATGTTTTACAAAGGCAAGAAAATTTCCCTGGATACCCCAATTGGACATGGTTTGTAAAATGTTGTATCTCCATGCAGTATCAAATGCTTTATTTATATCAAAAAATATGGCAATTACTTTCTGGTTATTTCTAAAGGACTCACATATAATATTGTCAATAGCTACTAAGGCATCATGAGTTGATCTGCCTTTTCTGAAACCGCTTTGGATATGGCTTAATAATTGGTTTTTTTTTCAAGAAACCACATTAATCTGTTATTTAAAATTTTTTCTAGTAGTTTGCATGTATTATTTGTAAGAGAAATTGGTCTATAGGAATGGGGGTCAGTTTTTGATTTGAAAGGTTTTAATATGGGAATAATTGTTGATTCAGACCAGATTGAAGGAAATTTTTTATTAAGGTAAATGTGATTGAAAATGTCTAAGAGAATTAATTTTCCTATGTACGGCAAGTTTTTGATAAATATGATTGGTATATTATCAGGACCCGATGAAGTGTTTTTTGATTTATCTAGAGCTTCTTCAAATTCTTGATATGTGATGGGGAAATTTAGTGGATTATCACTATCTATTATAGATAAATCTGTCATTTCACGTTTATTTTTGAAATCTAAAAATGCGGGATTGAAGTTTGCATTGCTTGAATTATTCTTATATACATCTGACATAATATTACTAATTTCTTGTTTGGAAGATATTAATTTGTTTTTATAATAAAGAGTGTTAATATGGATTGAGTTTTGTTCACCTTTTAATGTACGAACTTTATTCCAGATTGTAGTCATAGGTGTTGATGAATTTATGGTAGAGACATAATTTGACCATGTTTCTTTTTTACTTTTCTTAATAAGATATTTAGTTTTTGCTCTAAGTTTTTTAAAATTGATATTTGAAATATTTGAAATTGAATATTTTCTGTTGTTTTATGTCTTTTTAAAACATTGAAAGCATGTTTGCTAGATTTCATAGCTAAGGCTATTTCTTCACTCCACCATGGTACTGGTTTTCGTTTACAAGGTTTTGTTTTTCCCACTGCAATATTAGCGCATTTTACTATAGTATCATTGAAATGATAAAGAGATGAATCTATGCTATCTTCTAGAATAAAGTTCGTAAGATAATTATTTAATAGATCTCTATATAAGTCCCAGTTTGCTGAGTTTAATTTCCATTTTTGGTAAACAGGAATTTTTGGTTGATCATGCAAAGTGGTTTCAATTGTTACAGGAAAATGATCGCTATTATATAGATAATCAAGACTATTCCAAGAAAGACTTGTAGCTAATGTGTGATCACACAATGAAATATCGATGGCAGAAAAAGTACTATTGTGGGAGCTGAAATGAGTAGATTTACCAGTATTCATTAAAATTAGATTTTGATTGTCTATTAATTTCTGAAGAAGTCTACCACATTTGTCTGTTTTTATACTACCCCATGTGATATTATGACAATTCAAGTCACCAAGTATTAGTTTGGGAGAAGGAATATCATCGATTAAGCGATGTAATTCTTCAAGTACATTTTCATTTGGATGAGGGAGGTAAATGTTACATATGTTAATAGGTCTGCAGTTGATATTGCATGACACTGATACAGCTACAGCTTCTAGATTAGTGTGTAGCTTAATTTCTTTGGTCTGAATGTGATTTTTTACAAAAATACCAACACCTCCACTAGCATATGTTGCGTCTCGATTTTTAAGGAAATGGGAATAATTTTTTATATTAAAGTTATTACTTTTAAGGTGGGTTTCCTGTAAACATATTATAAGAGGAGAAAGATCGTTTATAAGTAGATTAAGGGATTCTAAATTATTAAAATAACCATTAAGATTCCACTGTAATATAAATGTATTATCCATTTTATTTTACAACGTGGGAAAGGGAGTTATCGCTTTCAATATCCGAGGATGAATCGGTAACTAAGGATTGTATCTTTTTTCGAAGTCTTGTTAGTTTATTTTTTATTTTGCGATCAGGAATATGGTCGTGGGCGAATAGAAGTATCTCTTTAAAAGAACTTATATCGGTTGTGTAATTTTCTACTATGGGGGTAGGATAATTTGAGTTTAATGCGTTACATATCGCGTCACAAAGAACTGTAAATTTAAGAGGAAATGTCGGGTATTTAGATTCGATTTTACCTTTAATAGATTCAAGTGACTCGAGGATATCAGATTGTGATGATTTTGGCCGCTTAATTGTATTTTTGGGTTTGGTAAAAATTGTTGGATCGGGTGGCGTTTCATGTATCTCAGGAGAGTCAGTAGATATTTGTCTCTTTGTTTTTTGATGGGAGGCATCAGTGTTCAAAGTAATAGGATTGTTATTTTTTGTCGTTTCGTTGTGAATATCTTCTGTTGTTATTTGAAAGTTAGTGGTATTATTAATAGGATTTTCTGCTTCTGTTGTAAGATTTTGAGGTTTAGACGGAAGTGATATTGTAGATTGAGATTCAATGGGCGTTTCAGTTGATGTCAATTGTGATAAAACAGGGCAGTCTGTTTCGCGATGACCTTTTGACATACACTTAGGACAATTTAAGTCAGTGGATAGATAAATTCGATAGTTGGTGTTGTCGAAGGATATTGTAATGAAATCTGGGATAGTGATATTTTCAATAGGAGTTATAAAAATTTGTCTTCGAAAGCTTAAAACATGGTTATAGGCAGTGTCCGGCATTCCAACTCGCAGAAAAGTCATCTGGGATACAGTATTAAGTCCTAATTTTTTCAGCTCAACTTCAAGTACTGAGTTTGGTATGGTGGGACAGACATTTGAGATGACCAGTCTTGTAGCAGGAGTAATTAGACGTCTTACTTCAACTTCTGAATCATTAATGGATATTGATGTATGTGTCTTCAGCAATGTATTGACGACTTCGGTATTGGAGAGATAAATACAAATTCTGTTATTTGAGATGCGGGATGCAAATAATATATTTTCTGGTTTTACTATATTTCCTATTGCTATCACGTATTCATTTATTTTTATTCCATTGAGAGCAGATAGGACAATGGCTTGGTTTTTGGTTGGATATTTAAATGAAGTAACAGCGTTGGAATATGAACATGGTTGATTATTGTTAGGAGAAGAAACAGAACCAACAGAATCTTCATCCATTTTTAAAAATATTATTCATATTTTGGTACCTCTATTCTTCAGACGGTCCTGTTTGTCACAACAGAATCGGTAATGAGGTACCAAAAGTTGTGGAGTTGATAAATCCGGTAGCAGGAACTTGTTTTGATATAAGTATCTTTAATTATATTATAATAAATACTACTTACAGTTTTTTTCCAAGTAGTTCAAATTTATTTTTATATTAACACTACACTTTATTGCAATTTTATCAACTGAATATAAATATTATCGCAAAAAACTAGGTGTAATTAGGCTAGCTATTAAACACGTCTGTTAACGACAAAGGTTCGACGTGAAGTCTGCGTTAATGTTGTCTAATCTACGTGACTTGTTGTTTTTCAGTTTTAACTGCTTCTTGCATTTTAGCTACTGAAGTGGGGGTTTTTTCTCTGGTATCCGTTTGATCCAGTATATTTAAATTCTATAGTGGATCTTCGTTTTTTTTTTTTTCAAACTTTTCTTTGGAGAATTCTATCCATCTTTGTAGTATTTCACTCTCTTTAGTAACTATATCTCATTCTTTGTCTATGCATATCAGTTCTTCGCTGTTGAACGGTTATAAATGCCTCGTACTTCTGATCTATTATTTTTTTTTGCACTCTTGGTCGATCCAATTCTTTGTCATATCACCTGTGGCTAAAATATAGAAGCTAATCGACTAGGCAAAACCGAAAGAAAAAAGAAATAGAAAGGAACAACAATCAAATTAACTGACAAGCTGTAAAAACTAATAGATAGAAACTTTGCTAGTTGATTATGAGTAATCCAAAATATAGAGAACCAGCGTAAACAGAGCAATAAGCACCGTAGAAGAATATATTAAACACCATTACATACTATTATCACTTATCCGAATCTTTGGTTAAATTAGCATTAGGTAAAAATTAATCTTTAAATAAAATCGTGCCAGAAAGTCTTTCAAAAAACCTTAATTTTATATTACCTTAAATCTTATAATTTGAAACATACGATAAAATGTCGAAGTTGTCCAGTTATTGCAGATAGTTTAGGTAATTTTGATTTAAATTACAACAGAAAAATTGTCCTATTTAGTTTATATTTAAAAACATTTGAAATACAAATAATACAAAAACTTGTTTTTATATAAAATACAAAGATAAATATTTAGGTCATTGAGTTACCGTTTTATAAACGTTTACATGAAGTCCAGGAGTGCGTTTGGACTGTATATTTTATATAAAAATGTAGGTTTTTCCGACACAAATAAAAGACCAACAAAAATCAAAACAAGTGGTGATTAAAAGTACAATTTATTATCTAAATTTAGGTTGTCAATATGAACTGGCTTTATCAAAAATAAAAATGACAATGTGTCCAATAGATCACGCAGAAGTAGATGAACGTCATGATAATTTTAAAAATAGCAGAAACGTCACGTAAACTTGGACTCGGATCATGAATTAGTTTCTATCCCAGTGCTTTTGTTACTGTTTTAAAGCTCTAACCTATTAATTTAAATAATATATTTAGAATTGAATAAACAATTATGCGAAGAAGCCGAAATATGTTGTTCAATTTGGTACTGCATAATAATAATTACTATTTAACGAAGTATTATGTGAGTATAAAAAATTGTGTTGCGTTTGGTTTTAGCATAGATGTATAATTAGAAGGTTAGAAATAACGTCAACGGAGAGTAGCGGCTCGTGTGGTTTTTTTTTCATTTCGCCGCCCAAATTTGAAATTTTTGCCATACATATTAATATTAGTCTTCATTCTAAAATTAGTTATCGATCTTGACAATATTGAAGTCATTTACTTCATCATTTGTCAAGGACTTTATATGTTTTTGAAACCAATAAATATGTGACCTACATACCGTCTATTTCGCCGTTTTAGACGTCTGTGTCAGTAAATCAGCTTTAAGCTTTGAAACATCTGCATAGGCAGCCAATTTTCCTGATTTGTTTTTTAATCTTTTATACTCGCTGAAGTATGACATTGCCGACTTGTAGACTAGAAGACGTCGCGCGTCGTTAAGCCGATCTTGTTCCTAAAAGATCAATGGTGGATGACGGTGTTGTAGGGCTGATATGTCTGAGATGGCATACATTTTTAGTTAATCCACACTTTTCGAAATGCTGTGTAAAGAATTTAAACTGAAAAAAACACAAAAAATATTATAAGCCTTATTTAATAATAAAAGCAAGTATAAAAAAATAAATAAAAAACTCTTACAGGTGTCCCATCTATCCCAAATATTTGTGAGTAAGACGGCATACCAAAATAAAAATATAATCTACACTTTACATATCTCGCAAATGTATGTTTTCTCTTTTTGTCTATAACCGCGCATTCGACATGGGACCATTTTGCACAAATCTGACATCTGATCCATTTCTCTTAAATCAAGAGGTTAAAATAGCTCATTACAGAAGATACAATATGCATCTTTATCGTCAGCGTTTAGAATGTTTGCTTCCTCTTCAATAAATATTTTTCGCTTCATTTTTCTGGCAGCTTTTCCTAGTTCTTTTGTTTCTTTTTTAGCATCTATCTGGTTGGCTACTTCTATCTCAGGTGTAAAGATAATAACTCCATCATTTCCTCGACTTCATAATTTTAACTAAAAAACTGTTCCCGGTGCGATTCGCGTTCGCAAAGTCTATCAATAAATGAGAAAGTCAATCGTTACAAACATATGGATTAAATTTGGAGAATCCATGCTTCTATGCGACCTGCTTACGCGTCGGAAAACCTTTTGATTGATTAATTTAGACTACTACTATCGGTTCACAGCGTTCTCTGACGCCTTCCGATTATAAACCTCCATTCTTCTTTATTTAGCCATAGGCCTGGAGGGATTTTCCGTTCTTCTAGTTCTTTTTCAATTCCCTCTCTCTAGCTTCTTCTCGGCCTTCTTTTTTTTTCTCCCTTGTGGTGTCCACGTCAAAATATGTTTTGGAATCATGTCATCTGGCAATCTCTGTACATGGCCGTACCATATTAACTGTTTTGTTTTTATGTCATCAACTATTGTATGATTGACTCCCATCTTTTCTCGTCTTCTCTCATTTAGTATCCGATCTCTTCTTGATTTGCCTGCTGCTCTTCTCCAGAAGTCCATTTCTGTTTCTAGTAACAGTTTCTCTGTTCTTTGTTTCATTGGCCAAACTTCACTGCCACATGTGATTACACTTTTAAGTATAGTGTTGTATATAAGTTGTTTGTTCGTTTTAGATATTGTTTGGTCCCACAGAATGCTGTTCATTATGGATATGGCTTTTCTACCCTGTATGTTTTTGTCTTTTATAGCAGCATCAAGTGTTCCATCTTGAGTTATCTTCATACCCAGGTACTTGTGTTCATCACATTGTCTAATTTCTACCCCCATCGTCTAATATAATGGACTGCTTTGTCCTTTCAATACACATGGCTTCAGTTTTCTTAATGTTGACTTCGAGACCCCATTTGTTATATTCTTCGCGAAACATAAGGTGTACAGTGTAAACCCGTCATTGAGAGGAATTCCCATGCCATTACATTTTCTTTTCCACAGCTTGAGTGCTTGTTCCAGATAAATTTTGAAAAGGGTAGGCGTAATACAGCAACCCTGCTTTAGTCCTTTCGTGACTTCAAATCCCTCAAATATCTTTGATTTAGTTTTAATTTTTGATGTCGTTCCATTATACAGACTTTGGACTGCGAAGACCATGCTTAATGTTGGTTTCCTGTAGGGTTGACCATAGTTTACTGAGAGATACACTGTCATATGCTTTTTGTACGTCTATGTACACCAGGTGAACTTCTTCATTGACGGCTGTTTTTTTCTCAATAACTTGCGTAATAGAGTACAGGTGGTCTACTGTGGATCGCCCAGCTCTAAAACCAGCATACTCATCTGCTTCATAATCTCTATAGTCATTTTCTATTTTGTTAACTGTAGTACATTCAAGCAGTCTTGAAAGAGTTTTTTAACTGTTCCTGAAGTTTATCTGTACCGGCTTTCACTAATTCTGCAGGGATGTCACCAGGACCAGGGGATTTTCCAATTTTCAGGGATTTGGTTATTTCTTCCATATCTGATTTACTAATTAATAATGGTTACAAATTGTTGTATTCACTTAGACACCAGAAGGAAAAACAAGAAATATTTTGTATCCCAGATTACTTCAATAAATGAATCGGTCATTTTAGAAACAACTTGAGTCAGAAATTATAGTTTTGAGTAAATCACAAAAAACTGTTTTAAAGCACTGAAAAAATGTTTTAAAATTAATTGTTTAACTAATATTTCACTATCCTGTGCATTATGCATTACAAATTTGTTTAAAAAAAATTTCTTAAGTCATAATATGGTTTTTAAAAAGTGACTTATGTTGTTTCAGAACAGAAAACAAAATTTTATAAATTTTATTGTCTTTATCAATTGTCAAACAAAATAAAAGCTTTAATCATCATTAATTACATCAGTAGTCGGCCATTGCATAATCTCTTCAAAAGATGGTTTTTTTCCTCTGCTATGTAGTCCATGAGCCTACGTATATCTTGAGTCGGTTGACAAACATGTTTTTAAATTTAAAACTATTCGATGTTTCCACCATTTTAACAAGAAACTTTTTGTGTCGTGTAGAATTTACTATCATTTCTGTATATTCTTGTGGCTGGTAAACACAATCAAAGTTTTTTATGACACTTTTTATTGCCGCAAAGTTTCTATCGTTCGGCAAAAAAGAATGGCCACATTGTGCAAAGTACTGGTTTATGGTCTCAAACCTTCCAGTTTCTACTAACGAAAGTAGAAATCTCGCCACGGTATGATTCCGGTTTTGATCGGCACAGCTGTCAGAAAATATGTGAAGATGTTTAACAGCAGTAGGCACTTCAGACTTGATATAATCCGTACGAAATGAAACAACTTCATTGGGACTCTTTCGAGCTTGACCTCGTGGTAGGTGTAAAACATTCCTTGATTTTTTTGCATATTGTGAATTCCAAAGACGTTGTAGGCTAGTTGACGTAAGTAAAAAGTCTCCTGCACAAAAATAAGTGGAAGTAGAAGATTTTGAATATAATCAAACGTCAGGCCACATACAATGGCATCTGTCTTGAATATATCTGCAATTTCTGCCATTTTATTGTAGAACTTTTTTGCACGTCTTTTAGGTACAGTTAATTCCGCAAGTTTCACATGCTTTGCTGTCTCGTATAAAGATGGATTTTTAATTGTTATTTCTAATTGCTCACATTCACAGCAAGTGTCTATCTGTGGACGTCGATGCTTTGTCTAAGTAATGCTTCTATTTCCCTGTGTAATCTTAGTGGGAAAACTCTCAATATGTGTCTTAATCTGTTGTACTAAATTTTCAGACTTGGCATTCCCTAAAATATTTTTTCCACGTTTATCTAATGGTGATTTTCCTTGTACAAGAAGCTTAGAAATTCTTCGAATTCGTTCATGACTCACAGTGTGAATTCCCATGAAAGCTTTTTTGCAAACAATAATTTTGCCACCAGAGCCTGTCACGGAGTAACTAATGTTATATCCTCTATTTTTTGTATTTTCGTTTCGAGGCCGTCTCTGTTTTACTTCACAGTTTCCTATAAGCCCTTGTAAGTATAAATCTTGTGCATTCTTAGTAAGCATGCTTCTGAATTTGGCAAGTATTTCAGATCTTACATCCGCATTACCTTTTTCAAAGCACTTTAAGCGACAACTACAAAAAAATATATAATAAATTTATGTTATAAAACTAACTTAACTAACTTACTGGCAGTCTTCTCCTGGTTTTCTTGAAGGGACAGTATTACCTTTATAATTTTCATATTCTTCCCCACAGAGGGGACTAATTATCATTGTAAACGTTTTGTTTACAATGACAATGGCGTCCAGAAACAACATCAGTCAATGGCTTATGTGGTTTTAAAATGGAATAGGCTTTTGTATTAAGCTGTAGTTTATTAAAGTAATTCGGGACTGATGTCGTTTCTGCTTAGAATGATGCGTTGACATAAAAAAACGGATTTATGAAGAAATGTAAATTTTGCTAAAATTTGACTCATGTTGTTTCTGAAATGACCGATTCAAATATAGAATTGAAACAAAACGATGTAATGTCACTTTTTTTTTCAAAATGAACAAAATCAATTAAATGCCTCTAAATGAATTGAATATTGTGTATAGGCTATTCCACGAGTATACGACTGTTTTGGTTTACTGCGATAACGAATATTTTACTGTGCAAGTAGAAGTATGAAGGTAAATTGGTCCAATCATTATGCCAATAAAAAGGGTCCACTAGTATGACATCTAAACTATAGTAAAATTCATTAAGCGATGCAGGAAGATGTAAACATTAAATCGTGTCCGAACCGGAATGAGCTACCGAAAACGTGGACAGACGAAATAAAGATGGACATTTCGGTTAGTTTTTAAATATTTTTGATGAACTGTTACTTGCATTTATGCATAAAATATTCATTAATTTTATAAATCGGATTATTTTTTCACTTACTATGTGTTCAGTGATAACATTAATTTATTTGCTATGCAATAAACATGAATATTTGAGAAAAGAAAAAAAATGATAAAGTGTCATAATTATACTGTTACTTATCGGAACGAGTAGACTCATTTGGAACATCTTTAACAATTATCTGTTAAATTTATCGTTGTTTATATGCCCTGCATCGCTTAATGGAATAAGGTAAAGGTAAGGTAAGGTATTTTTATAAAATTATTTCAGTTAAAATCTACAAATAAATACAATGACGTCTATGAAGCCAAATGTGTTTATCAGACATTTGGGTAAGCTTTCCGTGAAATGTAAACACCAAAGAGGCGTACCGGGTTTCTTTGATATTACCCTATTTTATGACTTTATTAGGTATTACAACTGTAATAAAAAGAAATATACTATTTTTAATATAAATGAAAAGAAACTGGCAGAACGATAGTTCAGAAACCAGAAAAAGGATCTAATATTTCACTTTGTTAGTTTTAAATATTTGTTTGCTTTGAGTTTATGTACTCTTAAAAGTTCCAAAAGTAACGGGTATAACATACCGGCTATTGATAGTTAAAGTACCGAGTCGTTACAGATATTAAAAAGTAACGAAAATTTATATAGTTTCATATATCGCCGACTGATTATGGCTGTGAATCTGATCGTTGATGATAGTTTTAGAAGATTAAGAGAATAAGTGAATAAATAAGTTTTTTTATTTTTTTAATACTAATTGAATATTCGCGTAAAAAAATTACACTATTTGATCACTTAAGTATTGTTACATTTCGTTTAAATCACATAATTCAAAAACCAACTTGTTTACAATACTAAACTCCATGATAGTAATTATATACTTCAAAATCTGAATTACAATTGTTCTATAAACTATTAACTTTATATTTATATCATGACTTCATATTTAAATCTTAGGTTTATATCTGTCGTAACAGTATTTTAAAAATGGGGAGAATTTACTATTGTACAATTCAGTACATTGGACCATTTAAATCGACACCTTAAAGCGAATTTAAAACAGTCTTATATTCGTGGAATGGAATATAATGTCTTTCTTTTAAATTTATTTTAGTCGATGACGTAGCAATGCGCGCAGGATACAAGTAGTTTTCTAATAAAAAGCTGCTGAGAGAACCTGAACAATCGTACTCATTTATTTGTAGACATTGATTTGATTGTAGATATTGATGCACAATAAAAATGGTGACTCCTGTATCTTGGTAAAACATATTTATTTCATTTAATAAAATAAAATTTGAGCTAAGTATTTGTAGTTTTGCAAGTTTTTGGAGCCACAATATGTCAGATACAGAAGAGGACTTCATACTTCTGAGGATTTCCTCATTTCTGACTCAGAAGATGAAGCATCCCAGCATTCTTACTTTTATTCCAAAAACCAAAAGAAAGGTTGTGGCTCTTTAAGAACGTGGATCTAGCTTTCCGATGAGCGCTCTTATCTCCCGGTTGTTGGTTCATTCTTTATTTATTGTGGTGCCCTAGAGTTGTCCTTCTATTATCTTTTCTTGCTAATTATCATTAAGCTTTGTCTTTTTTACGTTTACATTATTTATTGATTGTAATATGAACATAATGTAAAAAAAAGAGGTTAGTCTTCGTAAATGGGTATATTTATTAAAAAAACCCTTAAAAGGGCTAAAAAAAAATCAAAAAAACAAACGTTTTCGGACTAAACAGTCCATCAACAGGTTTAAATTTTAAAATTGCTGAGTTATAATGCCTGAGCTACCAAAATACCTGGGTAAAAACCCTTTAAATTACATATAGTTGTAAAAGATTATACATCATGTTGTAAAAGAACTGTGATGTTCAGTATTAAATTAAATATGACTTCAGGTGACATACATGGCTGAAGTGAGTACCAGAGCCGGAGAGTAAACCTGTTCACATGGAGAACAGCTGAATATAATGTGATTTTGTTCATAATAATTTTGATCATCTGCATATATTATGTTATTTATCTGGTACCCGTCTAGCGGAATGTTTTTTACAGTTTTGTGCAAAACTTCGCTATTCTTTATTTCTTTTCAAGCCTTAATAAATTTTTATTTCTAAAGACCCTTTTAAATCTAGTGTCGCAATAATATTTTTTAAGGTAAAAACTAACATAATGATTTTTTTTCAGATGCCAACGGAGTGCATAACCAACCCTTTACAAAGGGAACTGGCGGATTCGATAATAAGGATGGTACCTTTGGACGAGATCAGAATTTTACTGGCATGTGGAGCTAAGGTATTTTATATATTTAATAATAAAAAATATATTAGAAATATATTATTACATAATAAACAAAATTTTATTTATATTTTGTATTAATGGTTTAGGTAAACGAGCCAGTGACTCAAGGATTAATGCCCTTGCATTATGCCGTTTGGCAAAGGTACTACGAAGCAACTCAATTATTGTTGACTCGCGGAGGTGATGTGAATGCCACTGATGAATGTGGATATAGTCCTTTGCATTTATCAGCAGAACATGGGTAAGTAAAACTATTTTATAACAAAATTAAAGTTTGAGATAAATATGCAAAATACTCAGATAATTTTGTATATAGTTAATGTCATTAAATTTTTGGGGAATATTTTGTTCGAAGAGAAATTAACATTAAGTGTTCTAAGATAGAGTTACCTTAATAAACAAACGTTAAATTTTTTAATTTAAATTTATGTTGACAATGTTGTTGTTGTCAAGTCAAATAATTTGTGCTGAAGTGTAATTTGACGTTTCCTAGACGTCATATTATGTAGCAATTAACTAAACGCAACCAAATTAGCGCAGATACCCTTTAGAAAAACTGTGCTAACGAGTATAAAATAAAGTGAACTACTGATGCGATGACCACTATTAAGAGCCTGTGGGGAAGAGCAGGCTCAAATGTAGACGATTTCAATAATATGCCCAAGCATGCTCCTTGCCCATGTCTGTAAAGCAATGGATTATAAGGCATCTTTTATGATGAAACCATATGTTCCCGACACAAGACTGTTGCTGAAAAATCAGAAGATCGAGAAGGGCGCACTCAGCCCAATTTACACGATCGATCAGGCCCCTTACAAAGCATTTCGGGTTGCTTATTTTAAAGGCATATTAAAAACAGGAAAGGTGTTCTTCAAAATAGGCAACATTGCAAATTTGACGAACTCTAAAAATAAGGTTGATCAAATGCTTAATATACCAATATTGACATATGGATGTAAATCTTAGACCCTAAGACAAGCGGACAGAAGAAAGAGAGACGCCACTGAAATCTTTTGTTGGAGAAGAATGTTACAAATTCCCTCGAACGACCATAAAACAAATAATTCAATTTTTAATGAGCTAAAGGTCAGAAAACGGCTATCTAACAAAATCCATTTAAAACAAATGAAGTACTTTTAACATTTTATACGAGCAGACACAGTAAACATAGAGACATTAGATTAGTAGAAATACATAAGATCACGAGGAAGATCACCAACAAGATAGACCGATCAAATTACAGGGATATGTAAAAGACATGCATGAGTTAAAAGAAATAACCAGAGACCGAGGTCTTTGGAGACGGAAAATACAGATAACTAAATTGCATCCGGAGGGCTCAGGACTGAAGAGAGGGAGAGAGACGTGTATTTTAAAATCATCAAAGGCATTAATGGCTCCGGTCAAACAAACTTTCTGCAAACAAACTTCCAGTATAGTAAGGCAGCTTCGGCAGATCTTACTGCTGCTAAGAGAAGGTTCAATATAGCTTTGATACAAGAACCCTGTGCTTCTAAGAGCCAAATAAGAGGTATATTGGGCATTGATGGAGAGTTTAAAAACTCCACTGTTGACAAATCTCTGTATCAGGGATTTCAGGACATTAACGATTAAGATCATAGAGGGAAAAAGTATGAAGAAGACAATTCTCGAATCAACGTAACTCCTAAATGATGATCTCGAACAATCATCACCAAGGGAGTTGAAACAATTAGTGAGAGATTGCAGGAAAAATGGATTAGAAAATGATAAAATGACTAATGATTGGTTGAACAAACCACTTTTAACACCACAGTGTTAAAAAATGGCATGTGTCAAAGTATCGACACATCTGTTTTAAAATAACAGGTAATAAGCGTATCAAGACAACCTATGGTAACAGGTTGTCCTGTTAATAAGTCATAAACAAAACTAAAACCAGTACACAAGGTAGCAGACTGGAATGCGTACCATTACTTCTAGTTTTAGGGAAATATGTCGTGTAGTAAATTAGTGGTAAGCAAGGACAAAATCAAATGGACAATAAATTTATTTAAGCCATATACATTACTGAGTCTGGACAAGATTTATCTAAGACTTCGACAGAAGTTAAATAATTTCCTGTTCAAAAATGATGTATATGAAACTAGAAGCTGACTTAGGACTGGGTTACATACCAAAAGCATGGAGACAAAAGCTAAGTACCTGAAGGCGATAAGTCTGATCTCATTCGTACTAAAGACTCTAAAAGACTGCTCGATACTCACATTAGGGATAATTTTTTGGTTGATAATCCGATACATTAAAACCAGTATGCATATCAAGCATGAATCTATACAGAATCGGTAACAATAGAAAACCAAGAGGTTATGGAAAGGAAATGCTGGTTGCATTTCATGATATAGCGGGTTTACTCTAAAAGAAACAGATAAAACAAGTTGCCCATAAATATATGTACTGTCGCATAAAGGGTGGTGTGACATACGTAATGTTACCAAGGGATATATTCTATATATCAGAGACTGTCCGTAGGGAGGAGTATTATCTTCTTTCTTGTTAAATCTGGTCATGAAAATTTAGAGGAATATGGTCCTCTCAACTAAATAAATCTTGTGAATGAAGTAAAGTATTAGACTCAAGGCTCACTTGAAATCAGACGATAGAATAAATAATCACATAACGTTATCTACGTTAGTGGTAGCCAAAGGCACTCATGGAAAAATGTGGAGTTTAAAACCAGACATATCGTTAAAAAATGCTTTAACACCAATTATTTATTAGATAATTTTGCGGATCAAGATACACAGATAGCCAATAAAGGTGTGCTTATTAGTTCTTTAAGACGAACTAGTTCAAGAGAACTATTTCATAAAAATGAACTAGTTCAGTGAACTAGTTCGCGAAGGAACTATTTCTAGGACTGAAATCTAAATCCAACCCTAACAAAACTGGTTGCCAGATGTCTCGTCCCAAATTTTCTGGAGGTGTTTTCTTCGGTTTTCAGTCAGTATTTCACTACCGTACGGCGTACAAGTGGTTAGGTTTCGGAACCATTTCTTTCGATCGTATGTTTAGGTTTAAATGTTTTAAATTATTATATGATTAGTTAGTTTTTCTTCATAATAATTTATTTGCTTAATCAATCCCAAAAGATGAGTAACAGACGAAATAAAAGTTTTTATTGGATCATTTCGAGAAAAACGATAAAAATCAAAAATCTGCAAAATGTAATTACTTTTCATGTAATATTAGTATTGCAAACGGTTCACTGGGCAATTTATCAAGACAGTTAAGAATGAAACACTCTGCTATCAATCTCAATGTTGAAAGATACATAGAAAAGGACCCGAAAAATCAGAAAATACATTTCAAGAATCTCAACCTTCAACGTCAAAATCAGTTTCGCTAGCAGTTATAATTCTTAAGAAAAAACCTGTTCCTACTCCTTTTGCTTATATCAGGGTCTATGTAATTCGACCCGTTCCATTCGAAATATATGATCTCATTCATTCATTATCTTTTTCTTTAGTTGAGACACAATTTATAATGCAAATGGTTCGCAGTGAACTAGTTCTATGAAAATTGATGAACTAGTTCAATTAGTTCAGTTGAAAGAATCGGTCATTTGAACTATTTCGATGGTGAACTACACATCCCTAATAGCCAAGCAGCAATGGCCACTCTTACAAGGCAATATAACTCTCACTGGGAAAATATACCTGATCAAGCACTTGACAAAATCTATATTTGGCTGACTTATACTAATAGTGCTAAAGTACTGGAATGTTTAGATATTAGATCTCGGGTGATAAAGACTATCAAGTGAACCCAAAAACTGGCTGAGGTACGACCGGCTTCCAAAAAAAATCGTAAAATTATTATCTTGTTCGTGATAAAAAAATATCACCTCTCACCTTTTAGACCTTTGTATTAAACTTAAGACTGCAAACAAAAACGTCGAAGATCTTAAAAAACGTAAATGTTCAAACATACTCAAGATTAATGGGTTAGAATTCCAAAAACCTAATTTTTATGGAATACGTGTATCAATATGAATATCGAAATATATTTATATTCTCTAACTCCAAAAACAAACAAATAATGGTTTCTGTATAGTTTTTTAAAACAGCAATTTTAAAATAAAGTATTGGTTTGATGGCTTCCTAGAAAGAATAATAATTTTAAACTTAAAAAACTTTTTTAACTTTCTGTCTGGACCTTTTTAACTGTCAGTTGGATATATTTAGCGTAAATTACAAATAGTGTTGTGTTTTATATATTATATTAATATTTTATATATTAATATCCCGTATAAATTTTCAGATACACTGAAGTAGTTCGTCTTCTCTTAGCATCCGGTTCTAAAGTAGACTATAGAGAAAACACCGACGAAGAATTTCCCAGAACTACTAAATGTGATGAACCCTTAAGACTTGCAATCCGTAACAAGCACATGGAGATCGCTAGAATGTTACTAGAACACGGAGCAGATCCCAACAAAAGATACTTTTTTGGATCTGAGATTAATTTGGTGACTGATCTAGAGTTTTTGCAATTGCTGTTAACTTTTGGAGCTAATCCAGATAGCAGAGATAGGTCTGGTTTGACGCCGTTGATGAAAGCTGTTCGACAACCTCAGGTAAGTGTTTTCTTGTTTGTTATCCTTTAAATTTTCTAGTAACGTCTTTCATAAAATTATTACTTTAGACTTGTTAATCATTTGGGTAGGTGGTGAATTAGCCCTTATTCTTCCGCAGACCTTCTGAATTTTGATAGGTTCCTTATCTTTATTATTTATGACTTCTGAACAAACTATTTGAGACTCATGAAAAAAAATTTTTTTTTATTTAAATACTCATCTTCAGCCTAACTACATATTTTATTAAATAATCATAAAAACCAATTAAAAGAGGCATTGAACTGTATAAAAGATGTGATTTTAAAACGTACTGGAGGTTGTTTAAAGATATAAATGGTTAATGCTGTTGTGGTTGGCAGTTGTCAGTTGTAATTATTTATTTCACTATAAAGCACAAGTTAAGATACGGTGTCTTTTTTTAATTAATTTAATTTTATTTTATAATTACTAAAAACTATCACCATCAAAAAGTATCAAAACTTAATTCCACTAAGAGCTTCATACACAACACCAAATCAATCTCAAATCAATGTCCAGGATCCTCAGACACCATTATGGAATGAATTCTGATCAGTTGGCCCAGCAAACACTAAGGCAGAGCTGGCAGCAGCGTAAGAGTTGCTGTAACGTTTCCGGAGAGCTTTAAAAAATTAAAAACTGGTACGACACGATGTAAAACAGCATTAAAAAATAAGTGGTTATACATATGATAACAGATGTGCCTGCGGGGATGTCCCTCAAGATCAATACAGCATAAAGATACGTGTAAGGAAATATTCTGGCTTAGAATTGGATTAGATTACCAGACAGATAGCGATAACTTTAAAATTCGCCAATCTAATTGCTGCGAGAATCTAGCCAAACCGATTCCCGAGTCGTAAGAGATGCTTAAAACGGATACGTCCAGTAGCTGTTTTAATATTAACGTAACAATAATATACGTATCAACGGAAAGTAGTCCAATGCATTTATGAGATGATTTGTAGAGCTTTTGGTTTATTTACTCATTTTTAACACTAAACCTAGTCATGTGAAGAATATGTGAATATGTCAAAGAAGAGGTGAAGGATATGTGGACTTACATTCAGGCAACAGACTCTAGTATAAAGGTAGGGAAGACTACACATGCGGTGGAGTAGGTTTCTTTATCAACAAGAAGAGAAAATCTCAAATTCAAATAATTGACAGCGTATCAGACAGGGTTACATACATGGTATTAAAACTAAATCCAAAAACTAAAATAAAGATCGTGCAAGTTTATGCTCCAACTGAAAAGGCAACCGATGAGGAAATAAATTCTTTTTATGAAGTCGTTAAAAAAGCTGTAGACAATAACAAAGAATCCAAAATAATAATAATGGGAGACTTTAATGCCAAAATTGGAAGTAAGATTGAAGACTCTGAAAGCAAGATTGGAAATTTTGGATTCGGCACAAGAAACACAAAAGGAGAAAAACTCATGGAATTCCTGGAACAAGAAAACATGTAGGTTATGAATACTTTCTACAAAAAGCACCCTTAGAGAAAGTGGACATGAGTTGCACCTAACGGAACTACCAAAAATGAAATAGACTATTTTCTTTTAAACAACAAAGGAATATTTGAAGACGTCACAACAATAAACAACGTAACAACGGGTAGTGGCCATTGTATAGTCAGAGTAAAAATAAATATTAACATGAAAGAAGAGAGAAAAAGGATTTTTTTAAAAACGAGGATAAATGCCTTTGAACTAAGAACAAATGAAGAGCAATTCCGAGATGTCTAAGCGAATCAATTCGAACCTGATCCTTCACATAATCAAGATCAAATTGACGAGAATAATAAAAACCTAAATAAAAACCTTCTCGCAGCGGGACTACAGGTCGCAAAGAAAACAAGAACTAAAGAAGACAAAATAAGCAATGAAACTAAAAAGGTAATGACGGAAAGAAGACAACTACTAGCGCAAAACAAACGCCATACTCAAGAATATAGAGAACTTAATAAAACAATTAGAAAAGAACTAAAACGCGACATTCAAAAATGGAACGGGAACTTAATAGAGCGACTCATTGAAAACAACAGAGGCTTAAAGTGTCTAAGACCCGTACTTCAAGTTCAAAAAATCATCAAAATTAAAGACGCCAACAATAAGGTAGAGAAGGACAAATATAAAATAACAAATATTGTCGAAGACTTCTACACATCCTTGGACCCTAACCAAGGCAAACATGAATAGACTAGCCACAACAGAAAGAATAATGGAAAGAGCAATGTTAGGTATACGACTGTCAGATAAAAAGAGGAACGACTGGGTAAGATCCAAAACAAAAGTCGAGGACATAACAACAAAAATTGCCAAACTTAAATGGAGCTTCGCGGCCCACACTGCTAGACAGAAAGACCAACGTTGGAATACTACAATACAACATTGGAGACCTTACGAAAGTCAACGACCAAGAGGAAGACCACAGATGAGACGGGTTGATGACATTAAAAGAATAGCCGGAACAAATTGGAAATATGTTGCTCAGGATAGAGACCGATGGAAGGAGTTGGGAGAGGCCTATGTCCAAACATAAACGACAGAAGGCTAAGAAGAAGAAGAAGAAGAAGAAGAAGTGATTATTTATGGATGTCCCTAAATTTATTGCCTTCAATGAACTGATATTAAAATTAGAATGCACAAACTAGATCCAACACCACGAGCAAATTTAAATTTATAATTTGTCTATGTAAGTACATTACTTTTTATGTTTTAAAAAAAATTAACGAGGACTGTTATATTAAGAAATCTGTTCCTGTTTGTGTGGAGCTCAGATGTTTAAAATTTACTGGGTTAGTGGTCTTGGTGTGTATTTGTAGAACCAATTTCATTATATTAAATCCCTTATTTATAGAGATATGTTATACTTTTGTACCGGATGTTTGTTAATTAAACTGCCAAATTAACTTTTTAACTTTTGTGTAATCATTTTCACAAAAAGAAGCAGGATATTATTAATTTTTTATTCCATCTCCCTCTCTCTCTTTCTCTCTCTCTATTTGTCTCTCTCTATCTCTCTCTATCTGTCTCTTTAATCCTGATCCTCTGTAGGGAGTGTGGTGGTCATCGGTATATCGTGTATTGTACGTCTCCAAAAATTTCTGCCTCTGCTCATTTCTTCTAACTCATGCTTAGGTAGTTTGGAAATTTCTGTAAATTGATCGCTTCTTCTTATTGAGGATTTTCCTCTTGATCTTCGGCCTTCTGCCTTTTTTTGGATATGTCTTTCCATGTTTTCTGTGTCAACTCTCATAACATGAGAAAGTATTTTAATTGTTGAACACGGATTTTGCGTTTGCTGACAATTAGCTCCTTTTCTTTATTTTCCATTTATTTATGCCGAAAACTGCATTATCGGGTATACTACTACTCCCCTAGGAGAATAAACTTCTGCATTTTGAGCTAAAATTTATAAAAGCTTGTATTGTAAAAGAGAAGTTAGTGAAAGGGCTTGTGAAATTAAGTAGAGAAATATGCGCAGAAATAATAAAACGGTTATGATAGCTCTCAGGAGCTCTAAGGTAACTACTTATCTGGGGTTGGAATGCCAAAAAAGTAGCATAACATAACAGTCTCACAATAGTATGTGTGCCAGGTTATCGGACAAGAAATGTCAATAAATCATCATCATCATCATCACTGGCTCGACAACCCTTTTTGGTTCTTGGCCTGTTCAAGGATTCTTCTCCATTCTGACCTGTTTCGTGCTTTTTTTTCAGTTTTTAATTTTTAATGTTGTTATATCATTTTCTATTTGTTCTACGTATCTCAGCTTCGGTCTTCCTCTTGTTCTTTTTCCTACTGGCACTTGTTTGAATATTTTGTTTGGTATTTCGCCTTCTTTCTACATGTCCAATCCAACGTAGCCTTCCTATTTTAATGAATGTTATAATATCCGGATCCTGGTATATGTTGTATAGTTCAAAGTTATACCTTCTCCGCCAAATCCCGTTTTCTTTTGTGCCCTTATATATGTGTCGCAAGATTTTTCTTTCAAAGGTGGCTAATAACGTTTCCTCCCTTTTAGAGAGTGTCCAGGTTTCTGAGCCGTATGTGAGTACCGGTCTTATTAAGGTTTTGTATATTTGGCATTTTGTTTTTCTGGAGACGTTATCTGATCTTAGTTGCCTAATTAAGCCATGGTAACATTTATTGGCAATAAATATTCTCCTCTTCACTTTCTCTGCAACGTTGTTATCAGACGTAACTAGGGATCCTAAGTATGTCAATAAATAAGTTGATGAAATTGATAGAAGCCACCATATACTTCCGGTCTACAAAACATAACACTGCAGCAAGTAAGGTAGATCTTGATCTAAACCCACATTTACACCTTGTCCTTTCTACAAGTTGTCTCAAACTTTTTCTAAGACGAACATTTTTTTTTACCCGGTATAAGCTCAAAAGAGAAGATTAGATAAACTCTTGTTCAACAGTATAAATAATTTTTGGTGATACAAAACTTTTGCGGTTAAGTTTATTTCCGATCGGTTTACAGTACCGATAATTTCTATCGTATCGAATGCTTTGCGCAAGTCTACCAAAACTAGGACTTAATCTCTTTTATGTTGTAGAGGTGGAGGTCAGTACCAAAGTTTTGTCTAAAACCTGCCTGTTTCCTAAGTTGCGAAAAAGTGTAATTTTGTTTTGTGCTATTAAAATTTTTTCTTGGTACACCTACAACCGGCTCTGGACCGGAAGTATTTGGTGTATATTCCTCTTCTGTCAAGTTCATCGACTCATTCATTGACATTTCTTTCCCGATAACCTGGCACCCATACCATTGTAAGACTGTTACGCCACTCTTTTGGCATTCCTACTCCAGACAAGAGGCTACCTTAGAGTTTCTAAGAGCTCCCATAGCCACCATATTTATCCACCTAAGTTCGCAAGCCCTTTTACTAAATTTTCTTATACAATAGGTACAAGCTTTTATAAATTTCAAATTTTAAAATCCTAGTGGAGTAAAAATAATCACATTTCCACCACCACTGTATAGAACTACACTCGATGATGCAGTTTTCAACCCGTCTTTGTACATGACTTAATTTAGGAATAACCTTTTTCACTGTCCCTTTGACCACTATACCACCAATGCATATGTTATTATAAATTTGTCCAGTATGCTATAAATCTAATTCGTTTGTACCATGGGTGCGTCTGGCTACCAATAGGATAGAATCTGTTGCAGAAAAATTTAACGAATTTCGTGGGCCGATCGCAAATAAATAAATTCTAAATGAGTTAAAAGTCAGCAAAGTCGAGAGACAGAGATCTTTGGAGACGGATAATATACCACATCACTCCCTTCGGGGGATCAGAATTGAAGATAGAGAGAGAAAGAGAGAGAGAGAGAAAGAGAGAGAGAGAGAGATGGAAAATAAATCATATCCTACTACTTTAGGTGAAAATTATTACACATAAGTTAATTTGGCAGTTTAATTAACAACCATCCCGCACAAAAGTATTGCATATCTATATAAATATGAAATGGTGCTACGGATACACACCAAGACCGCTAACACAGTAATTTTTTTAACATCTGGCCTCCATCGAAACAAGAACAGATTTCTTGGCATAACAGTCTACGTTAATTTTGTTTAAAGCATAAAAATTGATGTATTTACACAACCAAATTATAAATTTGAATATGCTCGTGGTGTTCGATCAAGTTTGTGCATTCTAATTTTAATGTCAGTTCATTGAAGTCGATAAATTCAGGACATCCATAAATAGTCACATGACTGGGTTTAGTATTAAATATTAGTAAATAAACCACTGCAAATAACACGAGCAATAAAAAGCTCTACAAATTATCCCATAAATACATTGGACTACTTTCCGTTGATATGTATATTATTGCTACGGTAATATTAAAACAGCTACTGGACGTATGCGTTTTAAGCAATACTTACGACTGGGGAATAGGTTTGGCTAGATTCACGCCAGCAATTAAATTGTGTGAATTGAATGTGTCACAACCACTGAATTTCGCTAATGGAAAAGGGAAGTTCTTAGTGGACGTAAGTCTCCATGACTGCCTTGGTACACCAAAAAAACGAATGTTTTGGGACTGTTATATTTGTCTTTCCTTCTACTTATGTAGTTTTACTTATTTGTACACTTCTTATGTTTTGGAATTTATGAAATAAAATAAAATTTACTTGAAAACATAAGTAGTTGAAACTAGCTACATAATTAGGTATGGAATCAGCGTAGCCAATGATTTGCACTGATGTGTTATATATTGGACCGGTGATTGTGATTTGTTACTTTTCCAGAACCAGTTTGATCAGTATACAGGAGAAAGGGTCTCCCTGGCGCAACCCGGTATTCATGTTAAAAGGTTCAGAAAATCTCCACTGGATTCGTATTCTACATTCTTTAACATTCTCAAGGGTTAGTTTTATTGTATTTAAATTAAACTAACTAATTTGGTACTCCTAGCTCTTTCATTCCTTTAAACATATCTCTTCGTCTTACAGAGATGTAGGTTACTTTGTAATCTATAATATGTGATGAGTATCTACTTATGCTATATTTCAGTGCTTTTTCTGAAATTTGTCTCGGACTTACAATCTGATGAATTGTCGGTGCACCATTTCTAAAACCAGACTGATATTTTCGTACTATTGTTATGTATCTAGTGCCATACTGGTGGCGTAATATTGTAGAAAATATTTTATACGCTTTATTTAAAAGCGTAATTCCTCTATGGGTATTGCATTCAAAGATATCTCCTTTTTGTGTATGGTTTAAAGTATTCCAATATGCAGATCACTGGGGAAGGACTTCTGTGTCAATATTTCTGCTGTAGTGCCATTATGGTATCGTATTCATCTTGTTTATATGATTTAGCTGGGAGATTATCTATTCCAGGTTATTTGTTTCTGGCTAGTTTTTTAACTGCTTCTTTAACATCACGAATCGGTGGCGGTTTTTCTTCCCTCTCGTCTGTTCCGCTTACCTCATGTCTTTCGTCTTTCAGATTTTTTTTTTACTGAATATAGTCCAGCCTTAAAATTGGATATTTTTTAGTATATGGACACTAAACTTTTGGTGCTGTTCATTAATATTTTATTTGCTACCAATTGTTTCGAAATTTGACCTACAAAGTACTTCGTTGAAAACCCAAGGAAAAGATGTCTTTTATTCAGGTTAATCTGCGATTAACATAAATTTACGAGTGTTTTATATCTTCTCGGTGGAGCAGAATTTGCTCATTTAAAGATAGTTGTGGACATGTTTCTCAAAGGTTAGAGCAGATTGGGTCTCAGCTATTGGTACTATATAAATATTCATTTTTCTTCTTGTAGTGCATTTTCATTTCGGATTTTGGAGATCATCATGGCAATCTGTATTTTGCAAACTACGGCTCTGAAAATATTTGTGGTTGTTGTGTTGAACCACGTACGTAAATTTTTTTAGCCAGGAAATGCACTGCCTTCTTGGTCCTCGTTAGTAGTAGCAGTTTTACCCATATCTTTCACTATTCTTCATGATATGACCGAGGTATTCAATTTTGGCTATTTTAATTGTGGTTAATATCTCTTTTCCTTTTTGCATATTCATTTTTAACCAATTGTAACTATTGCTAAGATTTGCCTGAAATTTGTTTGTTACAATAACTAGCTTCCAGTCTGATGTTAGTACTGTTTAACTCATCTGGGAAGCTGGAGGAAATTTCGACTAGAGAAAAGCTGATATGTAAAAGATTCATCAGCTGGCATTCTGTATTATGCAGTAGAAGTCTCTCGAACATATTCCTAAGAGTACTATTTTCATATCTACTTTAATATAGACGTAAAACCTAGACAATGAAATTGGAGAATCTCAGTAGATTGAGATTGTGGTTTGAATTGTAATGTTAACGATGCATGCTAAAAATCCCACGGGGTAGCACAAACTTCCGAATAGAGCTAGAGTCTCTATTCGGAAAAGAAAATCTAGTCAGATATATAAAGGCCAATAGACTCAGATGGGCAGGACATGTGATACGCAGCACTGACAATCGCCTTATAAACAATCTGTTTTGGGAAAGGCCAGATGGAAGAAGATCTGTAGGGCGGCCTAGAAAAAGGTGGAAAAATGCAGTCAAAGAAGATCTAGAGAAGATGGGAGTGCGACGATGGGAATTACTGGCACAAGACCGACAAACATGGAAAGCAATAGTAAACGCGGCAAAGACTAACAAAGAGTTGTAGCGCCATTGATGATGATGATGGTAGCATAAATATCCAATGAACACGGAATAGAATTCATATAAACACAACGAGAACTAATTAATATCATTAAAATAAAAAATGTCACTCATTGCAATGAATCATCAGGTAAAATAGAAAGAATAAGCTGGATTGGACGAAAATAGCCGTCTAGTCTGCTTAGCATTAGTCATTGGACAGATAAATAGTCATGGAATTGTTTTATAACGATACCTACCATGCAACATTGCTGTGAATTGTTTACATAATAATAGGCAACGCTTAAAAACGAGCATTGCACATAAAAATACATTATGTTATATTGATACATTGTTAAAATTGTGTCTAGGTTTTGGCTTCTTTAAAAATAAGCTAGCGGTTTTACGTTTCTATTTCTATAATTTTATAAAGTATTTCTTGTTGTTGCAGGGTATGGAAGCTGTTTTACTATTATTGAAATTTGGAGCAGATGTTAATGCAATAGCAGATGAACGACACGATTACAGAACGGTAGGCGCTAAATTTTAAAACTATTGATTGCATCAATCATAAAACAAGTATTTTAGGTTCTGCATTATGCTGTTCTATCTGGGAATTTCGAAATAGTTAACCTCATAATAAAACAAGGTGCCAAATTGAACTACGGCGAAGAGTATGATCTTGGAAAACCCAGTCCTTTAGATTTGGCCATACTGAAAGGAGATCCCAAAGTTGTTGAACTTTTAATCAAGTCTGGTAGGTTGTTGATGTATTTGATAGTGCCTATAAAATATATGTACAAAACTATTTTAGTTGTCAATATGAGTTGCTTACAATGAGATATACAATGGTAATATTGTTCTACTAGCCAACTTTAACCAGGCTTCTAATTTTAACCAAGTTTCTAATTTTAACCAAGTTTCTGATTTTCTTGTTTTATGTAATTACATGTGGCTGCGAAAGCTAAGTAGCCAAGATACTGACCTTTTAAGCCATAGAGCTCAAGTTCGATTATCGGAACCAAAAACGGCGTTTTAACTCAGGAAGTTGCCACGAATTATGAATGTTCTTGGGAAAAACACTTTTTTAAAAACTGAATTCACAATTAAAACTTTTATTTTCGACTTACAAAGATTTTAGTAACTACAACAATAATTTAAATCAAACTCAAAATATTGATTTTTACATGGTATTTCTATAATTTTATAATTGCTGATCTTGCAGTCCAATATGTCGCAATTTAGTCCTGACTGTTCGAGCAGTAGCACCGTGTTGAATCCACGTGGTAGAATTCACTGTATGGTAGCGGTCATTGTACTGTAACTCACGGCATGCAGGTGCTATCGTGCCTGAGAGAATTTCGTCCATACTCATGGAAATAAAATGTATACGAGACAAAATGAGATGGTCCTGCAATTGTCAGTTTGTTGTTAAATTGTCGCAAATCGTTTTTTAATACACTGGAAATACACTGGTTGATGAAACAAAGATTTAAACGATCTAAAAGTATGGACTTATTTTTTTATTTTATACGTTTAGGATAGAGTGCAAGCAAGATTTTTTTATTGTAACTTATTTTTTTGTAACAATATAACAATAAAAACTTTGTTTTCAAAATTCCACAAAATTTATTTTAATCTCTTATCACTGCAGCTGTTTCGGATGATTGCCTTTCTCAAGTCCTCTATTTTTGGCATGCGTTTACACTTTATAGTCTCTAATGAAATAGGTTGAGGAGGGGAGAACTGTTTGTCTCAAGTTGATCATTCAGAATTATATCTGTGTTTTTTAATTTGTTGATTTCCATAGATTTTAACAAGGATAGCTTAAGGCCTTTATTTTGAAAGTGAAGAATTTTAAATTCGTAATTAAAAGAATGATTGTGATCTATAAGGTGAAGTGCGTATGTAGAATCTGTTTTTCTATTATTGGAAGCTATTCGTTTATTAAAGTTTCTATCAGTTTGACCGATGTAATTTTTTAGGCAGTCGCCACATTTAAGTTTGTACACACCACTGTGTGTTTTTTATTTTGGCTCTTGTTGTTTTTGATATATTTGCCTAGGTTGTTATTTGTTCGGAAAGCTGGTGTTATTCCTTTCTTTTTTATGTGTTTGGCTATTTTTGTTGATATTGTGCCTGTAACACATAAAAGCCAAACACATAAAAAAGAAAGGAATAACACAAGCTAAAATCAAGTTTTCTTTTATTTCGATTTACTCTTTATGAGTACAAGAAACCAATTCTTTTCTTAGCACTACAACCCGGGGTGGGTCTTGGCTGACTACACAACCTGCTTCCATCTCGAACGGTCGTCCATGATGTTTAAGTCAGTGGGTAGCCCCATTGTTCTCAAATCTGACCATATATTATCTCTCCATCGCATTCGTGGACGTCCTAAGGGCCTTCTCCCTGTCGCCACTTCTTCCCAGATTAACTTGGTAAGGCGGTTATTAGTGAGCCTATGAACATGGCCAGCCCATCTTAGACGTTGGGATTTAATCTCTTGGACTACGTCGCTAGCACTATACATTTGTTTGACCTCGGCATTTGTTTCGGTATTGGTTAGTATTCGGATCATAATGAGACATAAGATCTTTCTGAGAATTTTTCTCTCAAAGCATCTGAGTTTACTTTCTATTGCTTTTGTCAGCGTCCACGTCTCACACCCCTACATGAGCACCGGTCTAATTACTGTTTTATATATCCTGATTTTTGATGTTCGTGTTAGGCTCTTGGATTTAATAGTGTTGTGGAGACTATACATACATCTGTTTGCTGCCTGAATTCTGCCTTTTATCTCTTCCGTGATATCGTTATCTGTGGTGATAGTCGCTTCGAGATATTTAAAACTCTCCACTCTTTCAAAGTGATAGGGGTCTATTGTTACATTTTGTCCTATTCTTTCTCGTCTCTTTTGTCTGTTAATGCACATATATTTGGTTTTCTCTTCATTGACCCTTAGACCGGTATTTTTTGCCTCTCTCGCTAATTTATTGAAGGTTTCTTTTACATTGGTGACGGTATTTCCTACAATGTCAATGTCATCCGCGTATGCTAGTAGTAATTTTGGTCCATTTACTGTCAGTAGTTCTGTTCTAATTTGTGCGGTTCTTACTACTTTTTCCAGGATTATATTAAAAAGAAGAGGTGACAGCGCGTCTCCTTGTTTCAGTCCACTGTTTATTTCAAACGACTCTGAGAGCTTGTTACCCATCCGCACTCTAGATCTACAGCCATTTACACAAACTTTAACGAGCTGGATAAGTTTTTTTGGGACTGAAAGTTCTGCCATTGCATTCCACATCTGATACCTTATAATGCTGTCGTATGCTTGTCGGAAATCTATGAAGAGATTATGAATGGTTCTATTGAATTCCCATCCTTTTTCAAGCAGCTGCCTAAGAGTAAAAATCTGATCTATGGTCGATCTATTTTTTCTGAATCCGGCTTGGTATTCCCCTATGAAATTTTCTACAAAAGGTGTTAGTCTACCTAATAGGATGTTCGATAAGATTTTGTACGCCGTATTAAGTAGGGAGATGCCTCTATAGTTAGAGCACTTGGTTTTGTCTCCCTTTTTATGGATAGGAATGATTACACTTTCGTGCCATTTTGTTGGTATTTTCTCTTCGTTCCATATAAGTGTTATTAGTTTGTGTAATTGTCTATGTAAAGTTTCTCCTCCTTACTTAAGAAATTTGGCTGGTATATTGTCAGAGCCTGGAGCTTTTGCGTTCTTCAATTTGTTAATTGCTTGCAATGTTTTGTCTATTTTTGGGTACTCTACCGGTAGGTCCACCTCAAGGTATATATCCTCTCCATGTTCTTCATTTTGGTGTATATCAAGTAAATTTTTGAAATATTCTTGCCATGTTTGGAGTAATTCTTGTTCGTCGATTATTAATTCATCATTATTTTTCCTCAGTACAGACACGCAGTTGGGTCTGAATCCTCTATTTTCGTTTGACACAGATTTGTAAAATGCTCGACTATTTGACTGTTGTCTATTTCTTTCCATTTCTTCATACTGCTGTTGTTCGTATTTTCTTTTTTTCTATCTAATTAGTTTTCTTGTTTCTCGTCGTGATGTTGTATAGTTTTCTTTACTTTCGCCGAAAGTAAAGAAAGTAAAGTTTTTCTTTCGAAAGTAAAGGAAGTAAAGAACCAATTCGCCAAGGATTTTTGCTTAGATAAAGATATGTTGTCAGATGCAACTTTTAGATCCTCCATATATGTCTTATATCTTTAGCATCGTCTGTTTTGTCTTGCGGATTTATAGAAAGTACAGATTAAAGCAAAATTCTGGATTTTGGTTTCGCCAATAAAAATCTTTGCATTTCTACTTTGGAAAGTTAATGTTGTCTATAAAATTAGAAGCAATAGAAGAACGAACAAAAGATTTAGATTTTTTAAGGTAATCCAGTTGTTACACAAACAATACAGTAGCAAAGTTATTGTAGACGATTTTTTTTTATATTAATTAGAATACTTTAATAAAGATTTTCCTTTCCCCTGAAGCCATGGGAATCAATGAAAGCTACAACTTTAAAAGACGTCGTATGAAAAAATAAAATTTACAAATATTTTATCTTTTTTTAATGTGACCTATTCGGTTTGCATTAACAAACCAATTTAATTTGTTATGAGGAATGTGTGTAAATAAGTTCCAATAAAATATGTAATTTTATTTTTTAGGGTGTTTTAACAAGTTTTATTTTAATTTTAGGTGCAGATGTTAATTGTAGTTCTCCAATAATTGGATCTCCACTTCACGTAGCTTGTGCCGATAATATACCGAATAGATTTGAAATATTGACTGTAAGTATACATTCATTTTAACATTTTGGTCAATTCCTAACATTAAATGAGTCCCTTAGGTTAAATAGTTTTTTGGTACTTGCTAAATTATGCTAAATTAAAAATTGCTTTTATTTTCACAGCTTTTACATGTTTGCATTTAAGCTTCATACTTATTTTATTTATCTCCTATGTGCCTTTAAATTTGATTTCCCCATAATTCCTTTATATATAGTTATTTTGTGTTATTGTCATTTTGTTTTTATGTTGTTGTCATTTCTTTTATGATATATTCTTCTCTGTCACTTCTACTTTTACTTTTGGATTCTGCTGGTCGTTAAAAAAATTCGAAGCTTTGGAACTCCGGTTATACATAATACAAACAAAACAAAATATCATGGACTGATAGAATTATAAATAAACAAGTACTGGAGAGGTTTGGTAAAGAAGCAGAACTAATTATCACTATACAGACAAGAAAACTAGTATATTTAGGCCACCTGATGATCATCATCAACCTGTATGCGTCTACTGCTGGACATAAATCTCCCTCGGCTCTTTCAATCTGTTTCTGTCTTGTGCGGTTTGCATCCAGTTATTGCTATGTTTGCGTCTAGATATCGCTAAACGCTTCAGTTCATCTAGTTGGTGGGCGTCCTCTGCTCCGTATTGCTTTTTGTCTTGACAATACGTTTTGTCCATCGCGATCAGTTGTCTGATAATCTGGCGACGTGTCCTGCCCAATTCTACGAACCCAACTACCTGTTGTTTTTGTTCTACGAGAGTAGTCGGTGTTTTATTGTTTCCGCTTTATAAGTGAGTACAGTACAGTGAGTACACTAGTCAGTAGTCGTTAGTGCTATATCCTGATCTAAATCCAGCTTGTTCTCTAGACTGATAGTCTAATTTAGCGTTCAATCTTTTTTTTTGATAATTTTTGTGAAAAGTTTATATGTGTAAAAGCAAACTGATATATTTTTTAAATCAGTCATGTCTTTTTACTACGTTCTTCCTTCGTCTTTAAATCTACGTTCCTGTAGTTGGCTGTATACCATGTATTAAAAATTTAATTAAAAATCCTTTGTAATAGGTATATATTTAAGGTAGCTCAGCGGGCTGTGCGGCTGCCTCTCATTCGCTTCACTGTCGAATGGTTTAGTGGATGTGGGTCGAGCCCCAGCTCGGTGTACGGAAAACAAAAAGTCTAACGCAGCAGTTTAAAATTCTAGATGAATCTGCGGCTTAGACTAGGATATGCTGGGATCTGATCGGCCTATGGTGGAGCAGTACGGCAAGAGATAAGGGCTTGCGGCTCGGTGATACTCCTCCATAGATCCCTACCGGACGGGCGTAACGCCTAAAAAACCGGATATATATATATATATATATATATATATATATATATATATATATATATATATATATATATATATATATATAACATCCTGAAGAGGCAAAAGCCTATAACAGGATGCCAAAACCCCAAAACAAAGAAGTACCAACCAAAGACAGAGAGAACCAACGCAACAATGAAGTCGTCATATATATATATATATTTAAGGCCTAAACGGGCTAAGTTAAAAAGACATAACGTTTTCGGAAACCATGTTCCATCATCAGTGTCTAGGAGTACATGAATGTAGCCACCAAGATTAAGTTGCACTCATACAGTCCTCGAAGACATACCGTCTCAGGACTAGCAACTTCAACGTGGAGTCATATGTCGCCATGTTACCTAATCCATCGGTAACTCTATAATCTTAAATTATTATAACGTATTTTTAAAACTAAATGTAATTAAACATCTGTTAACGGGCTTTTACCCATATATTTAATTTTGGTGGCTACATTCACGTACTCCTAGACTGATGATGGAACATGGTTTCCGAAAACGTTATGTCTTTTTAACTTAGCCCGTTTGGGCCTTAAATATATATCTATTACAAAGGATTTTTTTAATTAAAAGAGTTTTTTCTTGGTAGATGGATTCGGTGAAAAGCTTGGCCAAAGCCTGGATAATTTTATTTCCACCTAGTTTGATCGCTTCCATCATTATTCCGTCATCAAAAGGGGATTTGTTATTTTTCATTCCTAAAAGTGCCGATTTGATTTCGTGTGGAGTTATTTCTGGCATTTATTCTGATCCCTGGTTTGCGATTTTGGGCAGAGGCTGATCTTACATTTCGTCGGTGCTCTCTAGCTTTACCAGGTGTTCCGATTTGCGCGGAACGTCCCGATTTTCAGGGGTCTGGGGACGCGTCCTGATTTGTACCTGTCAGGTTTCACTCAAGCACTTGATAAATATTTTACATGTGATCGCTCCGCGAATTCCTTTCCGCGGGAGTTTCGCGATGTTGCTTCTTTGTTGAAATTTGAAATTAGTCATTCATCAATCGTCTGTTCACGTTGTGAGTTTCGTTTTTGTGTATTATAAGTTTAGGTAAAGATTTAGGCAAACACCAAAAAAAAAAAGAAGTGCCAGTTTATCAACATTATCGCTAAAAATGTTTTTAAAAACCGATCAAATGAGCACTCAAAAATAAAAAGTTATAGTCGTCGCTGAAGTCTTTAAGACATTATTGACCACTCGGTCAAGAATTTTTATCAAAAATCGAAAACTTTATCGAAACTGATACTTCCAATCATGGTTCCACAAAAATGTTTCCGGCTGATGGTGATATTATACAGCCCAAACACAAATTTAAACTGTGTACTTGACTCTTATGAAGACTCTGTGTACTTGACTCTGTGTACTTGTGTGTACTTGACTCTTATGAAGATCCAAATGAAACTGCATCAGCCATCCATACGAATTTAGTGACACGATTGAAAGAGCGCAATATTGATATCAAACGCCTTACCAGTTACTGTGCGGATAATGCAAATGTAAACTTTGGCTGCCACAATTCAGTTTTTCAAGTATTACACCATGATAAAGACATTTTATCAGTGGGATGTCCTACATATAATTTACACAATAGTGTATAGCATGGACTGGGTAAGAGTAATTTTGATTTAAAGAATTTCATTTTGAAGCTCCGTAACCAATTTTCTTATTATGCAAAACGAGTTGATGATCTGAAAGATTTTTATGTGATCCACGAAGCTAAATTTGTTCCTGTTCTGTGGTATGTTAAGACGAGATGGTTATCACTTCTTCCTGTCGTGGAACGTGCAACCAAATCTTTCAATATCCTGAAAGATTATTTTATATCATTGGAAGAAGACAAATGTCTCACTGCCCTATGACAATTCTTTAACTCTGAGGAAACGGAACCTTATCTGGTATTTAACCAAAATGCACTGAAAGTCTTACAAGATTCAGTAGTAGGTCTTAAATACGAAATATTGCTATGTTTTGAAGGTCACAAAATAATGATTGACCTAAGCAAAAAATTGAGGCAGAGAATTGAAGATCAATTTGTGGGATTTACGAGCAGCAACTTATTTAAAAAGTTAAGTTGCCTGCGGACAAAGTTACTAAAACAAAAAAGACTGTTGTGCGCGGTACAAAAATGTTCTACATTACTTAGAAACAAGATACAATTTCAGGGATAGCCAATTGGACTTATTTAAGCCATTTTCTCTTCAGGATGACTCCTTTACTTAGGCGTCAATGGTCAACATTAAAAATGAAACAAATGTTTACGTCCCAAACACTCAATCTCAAAATCCGATACCGAATGCTGAAATGTTACGTTTACAGCACCTTACTATATGGAATGGAGGCCTGGACCTTCAAAATCAACTCACTAAGGCGTTTGGAAAGTTTTGAAATGTGGTTATTTCGAAGGATGCTGAAAGTCCCCTGGACAGCGCATATGAGCAACGAGCAGGTCCTACACAAGATGGGTACCGACAGAGAACTCTTAAAAATAATGAAAACACGGAAAACCTCATATTTGGGACACATATACAGAAATGAGAAATACCAGCTACTGCAGCTTCTTATAGAGGGGAAGGTAGAAGGAAAGCGTGGTCCTGGTAGACGGCAGGCGTCCTGGTTGAAGAACATTCGTGAGTGGACTGGTTTGGATTCTCAATCTTTAATAAGAAAAGCCAGGGACAGAAATGATTTTGCTGAGGTTATCGCCAACCTTCATTGAAGACGGCACCCAAAGAAGGTCAACATAATTAAAAATCTAAAACTTTATACGTTTTTCGACATGGATCAACTTTATGAAGAAGTATGTAAAATTAAAGAGTTAGTGAAGGTAGCAGCGCAAAACCAAGACTTGACACCGCTACAAAAATGGCACAATATTTTTAAATAAAACCAAAACTTTGTCAATCTTCAAAAGATATTTTCGTTTATGGATTCAATACCAGTATAACGCAGCTGTGGAAAGAGCATTTTCCCAGGCTAATATAATTTGGTGTGAGCGGCGAAATAGTTTGACATTCGAACATGTCAAAGCAAAAATTCAAATTAAAACTAATTTTAACATGACTTGCAGTGCATTTTATAACTATGTAATAAAAAACAAGGCACTGCCAAAGGCGGCAAAATCGAATGAAAAATATAATTTTACCAAAAATAAATAATTTACTTTGTCTACGATTTTGTTTTGTAATTCGTGTGATTATTATTATGTAGGATTCAATACAGATTATAACACCTTGTTGTTTATTTGTCCCGATCTGCAACCCTAAATCTCGATTTGTTTTTCCTTATGGACCGATTTATACTAAATCGGACCTGGCAACACTAGTGCTCTCATACATTTCGCGATAAAATGATTCGAAAACCTCAAGGATTTTGGTCACGTTTCTTTGTTTTTTATTTTGTACATATATTTGTTGCCCATATTGTTCGTATTTCGACTTAAAACTTTTAATTAAACTTTTGTTTTCTTGACTAATTTTAGATATTTTTCTAGTGATGTTTTCTCTATTTAGCTTTATTTAATTTCATTATTATTGTGTAGTTGGAGCCGTATTTTTCCATCAACCATCTTCTTTTACCTATTAGCTCTTTGGTAGTTTGGCTTTGGTAGTTTTATGGGTTAGAAAGGTCGCTTTTCGTTTCTTTTAGAGCCTTTGTTATACCATCATTTGCTTGATCTACATCTTCTATTTCATCTTGAAAGATGAAATTTTCTCTTTTATATGTCTGGTAAGTGTACCTTATACAGGTTGCTGTTTTCTATGGGAATCCCTTTTTTTGGTTTTGGGATCATACTGGGTGTACTTTGATTATTTCTTTTCTGTTTGTAATGATATAATCTATTTCATTATTGACACTGCCATCTAGGCTGATCCATGTCCGTTTACGCTGAGGCTTTTTATTGAAAAAAAGTTTATCATGGATCAATTATCCTAGTGTAACAAGTTCAACAATCTTTGCCCTCGTACATTTCTTTCGCCATATCCATACTTACCCATTTCTACTTCTGCATCATCTTGTTGAAACCGCATTTTCGCAATAAAGTCGCCCATAATTATTGTGTAATATGCTGGTGTGGCATGTAACGCTGTTTCTAGGTCATCGTAAAATTCTTCAATTTCTTCATCCGAGTGGGTAGTCGTTGGAGCATATGTCTGGATTATCTTAAGGATATATCTTGCATTTCGTTTGAAGATAAGATATCCAATCATGATGCTTATGCTAATGGTTTCAACTATATTTTGTGTGTGTGTTCTATGTATAATGAATCCTATTCCATCATTTGAGGTATTTTCTTCACCTCTAATATGAAATACGTGTCCTGATTCATCCGTAATCTTCTGGTCTGATATAAGGGTTCTAACATTGTATAAAGTAATATGATTTGTCGCTCTCTGTAGTAGTATAATTTTTTCTGAGTATTCTTAGCACCCTCCGCTCCAAACATATTCCAATCGCCACCTTAGTTAGTGTTAAAAGCCACCGGAGACTGAGGGAAGATCAGTAGTTTCGTCTTTCATGGAAAATAACTTTTTGGGTTTTAAGCCATTAAAACGCCACGCTCGGCTAGTACGTGTTGGTGAGTTGGTTTGTAAGTGAAAGGAGAAAAGGGTGGAGATGGGAATGCTTTGTGTTTGGACATGGTATTCCTGAAGTAGATCTATTCACTGCCGGGATAGCAGAGAAGTATCCACCCGCTACCCACCTGATAAGAGGACCAAAATATGAAATTTTGAGACTCCTAACACGCGAAGGCAAAATTCTTGGTTGAAGAATCTACGTGATTGGTATTAATGCAGGTCGATTGATTTGTTTAGAGCAGCAAGTTCAAAAATAAAAATAGCCATTATGATTACCAACCTTCGTAGGGAGACGGCACTTTAAGAAAAAGCTCTTTATAATCAGTCATAATATTTTGCTTCTTCCTCTTATTTTTATTTTCTTTTTTTTGTCACTTTTTTACCACCTTTAGTGATATACTAAATACTTTGTTTTGCTTCCGGGAATTTTCGTAATGACCTGGTAGCCAAATAGTATAATTGCTTTAAATAGATATTTGTAATATGTACTATTGTTGTCTAGTCGTAGAAAAATGAAACACGTTTTCAGAGTTTTGCCAAAATTGTCTTCCTACCAAATGTCTATTTTTAGGTTAAATTAAAACTTAACTAACAGGTGGTATTGCTTTAAATATACGAAATAAAAATTTAAATATATAACCATGACGTAACCTTTTAGTAAAAAAAAAGATGGTATAGTAGGCGATACAATAGACTAGCGCAAAACATCATACTATGTTTTATGTACCTATTTTTAAAATTTAAATAATATTTTTAAAATTAAAATAAGGAATTTTATTATTTATATTCTAGATAATTTGTGTTGTGTTAAAATAACTCAATACATTATTAAATTTGCTCCTAACACCACCTGCTAACGTAATAACAAAGCACACGTTGTTTACTTCTGACAAACCTGTCAAATTCATACAAGATATTAAATTAATAACAAAATATAAATAAATTATATCATTTGATGGTAAATTTAATTATTCAAAGATATTAATTAAATATATTTAAAGATAATATTTGTAATTACATGAAGTTATTTTAAAACGAGAAGTGTCATAAAATTTAAACAGATGATTGAATATCGTCTCAAAATATTTATACTCAAAAACATTCATTGATCAGTAATTGAATGAAATTTAGTACTTTTAAATTTTGACAATCATTATTAATCGAATCTTTAATTGACAGATATTCTTTTGATTTTTTGCTTCTCGTTTAATGTATATGTTGTGTTAATTATTTTTCATTCAGTTTTTATTATAAACGTGCTTAGAATAAATATGATGACTGGAAACGAATTTATATAGAGTAGTAAATCACTGCGAATAACAGCTTTTTCGTGACGCTATCCATAACGCCTTCTCGTGTCACTAGTTCCGTGACTCTCGTCTCAGTGTTTTACTATAGAGACAGAATAAGTAATACAACGCCAAGTATAGAAGCCGTTTTAAAAATATTTTTTTGCCATGAATTTTATTTATTAATTTGCAAATACATATTATTTGTGTTGTACTTTTATTAAATTTGATATTTTAACGTAAAGATATTTTCGAAAAACACCATCTTACCTGGAACTGATCAAAACTTCTGGGTGCTACGATCATACGGCACAGTAACTTACGTTAAACAAACATAGAAAACCCCGTCCTTGTTTCTACATGACAAATCACCAGCTATATCCTGGCCAGCTCAAGTCCTGACAGTCACCCAATGGGATTTCACTAGTAAAATGGGTGGAGGACGAACATCTATCACTAAAGTTTGACGCTAAAAACCGACCTACAATAATGTCAGCAGTATGGAAGAAGGAGTACAATCCTGATCTATCTTTTGTCTCTACTAATAAAAACGGGAAACTTCTAGTAGTATCTCGAAAAGTAATGGACGACTTCCCACACAGCCAACACCGACCAGTGATCTTGGAGGCAGGAACCCAAATTCCTATAATCACATCCATCCCTCGCGCACGTTGGAATCTAAAGAATCTAAAGAAAAATTGTTTTATATAATTATGTGTTATAATGATAATGATATCACTGATACTAAAATTATGTAATTAAATGGTCATCTAACATCATCATGTGGCTAGTTTCTGATAGGATCGAAAACGTTCTGCAAATTTATAAATCCATTTTTTTTTTGTTAAATAAAGTCATTCTAATCTTCTTAGTTTCCGATTATGGTATTTCGATTCCGCAATAGTTAAAAAAAACTATATTGATTATATTCAACATAGTTGTAATTGTTTCAGATGCTGTTAGAAGCTGGAGCTGATCCAAATCTTAAAGTATATAGTGACGAGTTTGACAGAAATTCGCAGCTGAGGCCTGTATTAGTGGAATATCTGGCTAGCAATGAACGACCAAGTGTGGAAGTAGTTCATCTCTTACTTCGATATGGAGCTAGGGTCAGTATATATTTTAATTAAAATTTTAATTTAAGTGGAAATTGAAACGTCAATAAACTTACTTTTACTTTCAATTGTGGCTTATTCCCATTCAAATAGTAATTACTTTAAAACGCCACACAAAAATAGCTTCAGAACAATATTTTAAAAAATTAGGCAAAAGTATTAAAAGTTACTTCAAACTAGTGATGAAAAATTTTCGGTAATAATCGAAAAGAGAAAATATTCTAAACAATATTCTCGTTTTGAAACTTTTCTGAGAACGCACTACAAAATTAAGTCACATTAGTCACCGTTAAATTTTCACGGAAAAAATAAATATTTTCACTATAAAAAAATATACATTATAAATTAAAAACAATGTGTACTTAATTATCCTGTGATCCTAATTATACATAGATCTCCTAATTATGCATAGGCTCCGACTCACTCTCCTCGAAGTCTCCATTTCCATTTCTTCTGTGCCTTTAATCTTATTTCAATTAAATATTGAGTAGTTAGTGTCATTGGTGCACAGATGATTGCTCTAAAAGTTTCATGTTGTGAGCCATAAAAGTCATATTTCCAGCTCTAGTCCGTCGGTTTCGGTTTCGTTTAGAAGTATGTACTACAATTTTTTTCTGTAGTTTGTCTTAAATATCTAGTTATTTTGCTTAAGATATGATTTCCATTTTTCTATCGATTTATTTGGTGTATTTTTAACAGTTTTACAAACCACCAATGCTTTTAAAGAATGTTTTGTATCAAAAACGTTTTAGAAACAGTAGATAAATGATACCCATTGTGTTGTTGCTTCAGAAATATTGATAGTTTTCCCCATATTTGTCTATTTGCATTTTCTCAAAATGTAAAAATTATTAATTTCTATAACAACTTTCTTAGCATCACTGTCTACTGATAGAATTGGTCGCATCTTTGGAATGTATCCTAAGTAGCATAAAAAATTTATTGATGAACTTCCTAAACTTTAAGAACATTTAGGAAATTTAAGAAAATAAAAAAATCTCATAAAAGTCAGAGACTTCATAAACTTTAGGGACTTCAACGTATTATTAAGTTAAGAAAGTTTAGGAAATCAGAAATTAAAGAGATCACTAATTAAAGTAAGCTTAGCAACTATATTACGAATCTTCAAAATTTTTAGAAAGTTTACAATGTCAAAAGTCAAGAAAGTTCGTAAATTTGAACTAATTCTAAAATATTTACCAGCTTTATGTATTATTTGCTCAAGAAACTTCATTAATTTCAGGCACTTAAAAATATTTCGTCACTTTGGGGAGATAAGAAACTGAATCAATGTTTAAATTTGTATCTGCAATATATGCTATCCATAATTTCTTTTGTGATTTTCATATTATCGTGATCATGTTTTTGTAGATCTAATAGTGTCTCCATTGTAAAGTTTTTTTTACTCTCTTACATTTAGTGGGCATTACTGGACGTTTTTTACTACATTGTTTTAGTTATTGGTTGGTTACCTACATGCAACAAATTAAAGATGCCATAATAAACAGAGTAAAAGTTTTTTTGTTTATCTGTCTTAGGTATGGAAAATATTTAGCTTCTTAATGAGTATTAGACAAGCACTGTTAAAAAAAGTAACAAGATCTCTCAATAATTTTTTTATCGCCGATTTATGCCAAATGTAGGCAACTTACAATGCTTAGTTGCAGTCTTACACGAGTTTTAGTTACTCTTTAAATAATATCATATTTCCGTCAAATAACTTACACTTCTGTAACATATTCATTACTGTAGTTCAAACTTTTTATTAATGTTTTATATTTATATTTCATACATTGTACGCTACAACTTTTTTTATTATTTTTCTAAAACCAAACCGCACCACACAAAAAATATTTACTTTTAATTGCGTTCAAACGTTACGATAATGTCGTAACGTCAACTACAAAACTCTATTACAAATATAACTGTTATTCTAACGATTTTATCTGAAATTAAATACCCAATTTTATTTTTTTTTATCACATATTATATTATCTTGATACGACTAGTAGTTTTTTTGGGTGTAAGGAATCTCCTCTTGTTGTTTTTGAAACAAATCGTAGTCAATTTTCTAATAAAGACATTTTTTTACAGGTTGTAATGAAAACACAGTTCAGAGATCCAGACGGAATGCTAAACAGTCTGCAAAACGTGATCTCCAATAACTGTCCTTCCATATTCTTCCTTCTACTTGAATCTTCTGAATCCTTCGATCCCTGCATGATAAGACGCAACACGATACTATCAGCAGAACAGAAATCTGCTCTTCTGGAGCTCTCAAAATATCCCTTATCCTTAAAACGCCAGGTTAGACTGTACTTAAGAAAAATGTTAGGTCCTAAACTTTTGCATAGCGCGCAAGATTTTGAATTGCCTAGTTCTTTGGCTAGGTATTTGCTCTTCGATTACAGTTGAAGTAAGTGCTGTAGAATTATAGAGCAAGATAAGATATATTTTGTTGTTTACAGTGATATTTGTCCACTGTTAACAAGACTTTTAAATAGCCTTTTAATGTTTTAAATAGTAACAATGGTTACAATAAACATAACTCTCATTCTGAATATAAAAGTTGTCCCTTAAGTAAAAGTTTAAGTCTCTGCACGATAAAAATTAATTATTCGGTTCTAAACTTGTCCATAGCGCCTTTGACGCACTTGACCAAGACAATTGAATTCTAGGGTCAGTGAAAAATAACGGGCATCATAGCTAGGCAACTCCTTATACATTGTCAACATTTTTAATGTAACAGCTGTTGTACAGAAATGCAATCTGTGGTGCACACCACGGGCACAGGGACAAGAAATGAAACATTATTATGAAACCATTTCGTGATGACCATTTTTCTTACTTTTTGACATTTTTAACAACTCTCAAACTAACTTGAATTTTTCAAAATAGTCTAATATGAAATATTACTAGATGAGGATGACAAAGTAAGTTAGAAATAAAACTAGAATAAACTAAAATCAAAAAATTTTACTTTCACAATTTGTGCCATTAAGTATGTTTGTCCTTTCTAAAGGACGTCGATGTTTACAAAAGTGTACAAAGTTTACAAGAAAACAAGCGTGCATTTAAATAAAAAATCATAAATTATTAAGCTTCTAGTCACAATCAAACGAACTGTACATATTTCAGCTTTTAATTCTACGTATAAATCAATCACAAAACACATTTATAATGTAGGTTGGATAGTTCTCGCGAAACTGACGTAACCAACTTTATGCCATTGGTACTTGGTAGTCCTATACTACTCTTTGGTAGTAATACCATTCATAACTGAGTAAATACACTGTCCTTCTATAGATAACATGATATTTCGTAAGGTTAAAAGCCAAAATTTGGCAATGTTCGTGTCTACATAGGAGGACGATGTGCCTGAAAGAGTTAAAAATCAATTTTTAAACTTAAAATAAGAGACAAAGTAAAAAAACAGGTCAACATTAAAAAGATATAAAATAACGTGAGAGATGTAACAATTACTTTCTAGTTTTATTATAGCCTCTAGTTAAAGAAAAAGAATGAAGACATTTATGATGATGATTGTTCCTATTTGATACCTTAAAAATATGGGGATAATAAGCTTTTGGGGTTTCTTTTTGAATTATTGTAACCATTAGTTTCTTTTAAACTTCAAATATAAACTAACCTAGTAACGTTGAATCCTCTTGATTACTTACTATATACCAACTAATATTATTAATATTCAATGGTTTGTTGTTAATCCTTTTAACACATAACAAATTATCAAATATAACTTTTATAACTACACAATTTATTTTATTATACTACCATTTTTCAACATATTAATCAAATAATAGACATATCTGTGTTATTTTTTATCTATATTTATATATTTAACACATATTTAATCATACTGATAAACTGCGGAATAACGACATACTAAGAGCTTGCATAGTTTTGTTTCTTTTTAAATAAATATCTATATGTTAGCTTATTTAACCTGTGCAGTTGTTTATATCAAATACAGTAACGTACATTTTTTTCACAAAACATGAATATGGAAATACACTTTAATGACATATAAATACTTTGACAACAAAATTACGACAAATATGTTATTTGTATGTCCAGGATAATTTCTGGTATTGAAGATCAATATGGCAGTCCCGATTTGATGTAGTTTATTGTCATTGATCATAATATTTGGTCTGATATAAGTAAAAACATATCTCTACTTTCCACTGGTGGCCCTGTACGGGGGACATCAGTCGTTTTACCGTTGCGCTCGTATGTCCCTATACAGAGGACATCGCATTTTTACCGTTAAGGCACGTACAGATATGCGAGCCAAACGGTATACGTACCGTACGCGTACAGATTCTTGAAAATATATCTACATCGTACTGAACGCATACTTATCTCGATCCATGGAAAGCGATAAAACCAACAACGAACACAGATGTGCGAAATGATTTTATTTATAATTTCGGTACTGATTTATCTGATTTATTGTGTTTTTGTTCTATAATGTAAATCAAGACAGCCTTTGCTTGTTTAATAAAAATAAAAATATGTACAATAATCAGTTTACTGTTTTCTCACGTCTATCTAGGAAGGAACACATCATTCACGCAATGTCGATATGATTAGACAATAAAAATGTTCGCTGGTCTAGTAGCGCCGTCCAAACTGAAATACGAGCTTCTTTTGAAGTCGTGGAATAAACCGCAATAATTTGGTTCGCGAGGAGTCACAATGAAACAGTACGCATACAGTACGCAAGCGGTTTTTTCTGCCGTACACATTAACGAATATAGCGTTCGCATACCGTATGCATACCATTTGGCTCGTATATGTGTACCGAGCTTTACACTCGTATGTTGCCGCATCGATACCAAATACTTCATATTTTATCTTTTGTAGGTATCTAGATATTCGTCATGAAGTGGATAAATGAGTAGCGGTGGCCTGTTTAGTCTGGTTTATATGCCATACTAGATTAAGGGGTATATTTTTAAATTTCTTATAGGAGATTGGTAAAGCTTCTAGTTAAATCGGAACGCATTTCCATAAGAAAATTCATCTTAATAGAACGTGAAAAAAATCCCAGTTATTTACCCTCAAAAAAGAAACAGTCCTGCTAAGCTGGACTTCATCGTCTTCTTATGATCCACAAGATTCAGATTCCCACAATAAGAGCGACCATTCAACTGGCCGCTTTCCTGAAAAGTGAAATCATTACACAAAATCATTATTTTGTCCGCATAAGCAGAAAACTTCTTGTTTATTTTCTGCGTAAACATCTAGGCCGAGTCGAGATCAAATGAGGGAGCAATTTGTTTATTATAAACAGACTCCAAGATGTTTACATTATCAATCTCAGAAATGCAAAAAGATTAGGAATCTTTTTCGGTGTTAATAATATACGGGGTGAAACGAAAATGCTAAAACGTTACAAATTTTTTTGAATGTGTTCCTTTAACTTTACCAATACATCCTGGTTTTCTTGATACGTTTCTTGGTTGTAGACACGTGATCGGTGGGTGCGTTGTATCGTGGTAGCTTGTCGCTGGTTAGAACTTAATTTCTAGAACAGCGACCAACTGTCTGAAACTGTTAACATCGAGCTTATGTTGAACTTGAACGAAGTATAGTTTACAATCACTCAGGTAACAACGTAACCGATGATGATTGTACGATTAAAAGATGTGCGTTCTCGTAATTAGTATAAGCAACCTCTAACTTTGGTAATGCATGTTTAAAAACATTAACAAACCTATTTTGCTTTAAAAAGTATCTCCTTGTTTTTTGAATGCCCATAGATATTCGGCTAAATCTATCATTTTATGGTATTAAAACCATTGTATGCAGTAATTGTAAGCCGAAAAGTGGTTAAATCACATCTGAAATTAATTGACTCACACCAGGCTTTTTAGCGAATGTAGACGAGCAGAAGCGAACTTGAGTGGACTATATATTTGTATTATATTGCAGTATCTAGTCTTCACTCATTTCGTCGAGTATACTCGACGTATATTTGCTTTGACTTTTGATAATACACCTAAACACCAATTTTGAGATAGAATCAATAGAAATATTGTATTTTATAATTTGAATAAAATTATACATAGAATATTTTATTTTTTTAAATAGCTAAATCATGTGAAGCTAGAATTTTATTTCGACTTGGTATTTATCATAATTTTTTTGGTAGTCTATAACAACAAGGAGGTAGTTTGTACTAAATGTTTGTTTATATTTTCTAATGTATAATGTTTGTTGTATTAAATAATTATTAATACTTGTTTTGCGCTAACGAATAATAAACTGTGTGGAGTATTTATTTTCACTGGAAGATTATTTACAATTTTTTATAGCCCGGTTTCATCAAAGTAGAGATAAATTTGTTTCTAGTTTATGTAGAGTGATGGAGCTATATGCACTCTTCTTCTTTTTATGGTACCATCTTCATTTAAGGATTTGCATCAATCTCAACATATTAATGTATATATTGTGCCCGAAACAGTGAACGTGAGTCCAAACCTGAACAATGAAACTTAAAAGTTTAGTATTAATCTACTAAAAGTATTATCACTATAGTCGATAATAAATCTAACAAAAAAAGTTTACACATAATATAAAATATAAAGGACTTGTACACTTACCTCGAAGCATTTGAAATGTGGTCATTGAGAAGAATGATGCGCATACCTTGGGTGGATAGAGTTCGAAACGATGACGTCCTTAATAGAGCCGGCGTGGAAAGAGAACTCTTTGAATTAATTAAAAAACGCAAGATTGGTTACCTTGGGCACATATTGAGAGGAGCAAAATATGAAATACCACAGTTAATCCTACAAGGGAAGATCGAAGGTAGGAGAGGAGCCGGCCGCAAACAATTGTCCTGGTTAAGGAATATTAAAGAATGGACAGGAATACACAATACAGGTGAGCTGTGTCACGCCGCCAAGAACAGAATTCTAGTAATGAGATAGTCGCCTACGCACTTTGGTGTATGGCATGTTAAGAAGACACTTACTAGAATCTACGAACCTGGGACAAATATTTTGAGGAAAAAGATAAACTATTTGTCAACTGATTATGAAATGATACAAACATGCAGTTTAAAATGTAGATAAACACAACCGTATATTTTACTAGTAAAAGATTGTAAATAAAAGATTATGAACCAGTAGAAAATGAAGATAGATTCTTACTTTAAACGCTAAATTGCTTAATTATAGTTTGTGAATTGCTTGTAACATAACAGTGGCCAATTTTACACTTTGTAATGTATAAAGTTAACGTAGATGATGACTTCTTTTCAAAACAATATTTTGTAAATGAAATACTGAAGAGTTTACTATATTTTTACAGAGTCAAGTTGGATATTGGCTTATTTACAGGATCTTTTAGGAATACTGTCTATTTCTTTTGTATGTATACTCTTA